ACATATACATATACATATACATATACATATACATATACATATACATATACATATACATACACATACACATACACATATACATATACAGGACTATCTTCAACTTTCCCAATATTTTTTTTTAACAAATGAACCATAAAATTAAGAGGCTTTTTTGCCTGTGCAATATCTGGCACACATGGAAAGTGACAATGCTGCCAATGTCCAGCTATGAAGTACAAAATGTACTCTACCATGAGCTGTTATTAACCCCAGTCACAGATCCATCTGGAATCCTGAAGCAGATGGGGTCAATTTAGAGAGATTCTGTGGTTCACTGAGCTACTAATCCAGGATCTCTTTAGAGCACAGTTGTCAAACTCATGGTTCAGGCATAGGCTTCAAAAAATTTAGCAACCAGTTCTCTGTCCAATTGCTGGGTGGGCATGGCCTAGCTGGCCTCCTGCACCACCCTGGCCTGGGAGCGAAAATGGGATACGAGGGGCATTTTCACCCTCCCAGGGCTCTGGAGGCTTTTCTCACAGGAGGGCAAAAATGGTCTCCCCGGGCTCTGGAGGCTCTCTTGTGGAACTTCCAGGAGATCTGGTTTTTGCCCTCCCTAAGCCTCCACATGGGCCCTGCACTTACCTGTAATCCAAAACAGACCACGCAGGGACTCCTGGGAGGGGTGGGGTGGATGGGGCCAGCCAGGGGTGGGATTTGACAGTTCGCCAAACTGGCCATAAAATTAACAACCGGCTTGCCCAAACCAGTGTGAACCGGTAGCAGCCCAACCCTGGTCATGTTGCTGTCACGTGACATTTCATGACATTTTTCCCATTTACGGAGCTGGGGTGGGCATGATATATCTGGTCCGTGGGCCACCAGTTTGACAACCCTGCCTTAGAGTTTGATGAGCATTTCAGAGCATTAGGGAGCTAGAGAAATCCAGATAGTGACCATACTTAAATCTTGGATTGTTGTTTAATCTTGGCTAATGGAATCAATTGTTGACTTTACATGGGAGCTAGGTCAAAATCAATCAAGTCAACCACATTTAGCATTTTGGGCAAATTAGATCAATTTGTCTGCCAAATCCCTACCAGTTAAACTGTGCTCTTCCATATATGGAAGATACCAGCTGGGGAGGACAAGAAGGAAAAGGAGATGAATGAGTCTAGCTTCTATTCGCAGGGACGTCCAATTACAGTGTTTAAAGGAGATGCTAAGTGTTTTATAATGGTTGGTTCTCAGCTCTGCTTTTGATTTTTCTTAATTTTGTTTCATCCAAGTACAAATGTTAAAGAACTTTGGCAGAGCCATCTAGTTCCTTTTCCTAGAAGCAGGTTTTTTTCCTGTTCAAGTCTGTTTGTTCTAGTGATAGGAAATCCACATAAAGGAATGTAATTAGACATAAGAACTGGGTACGGAAAAATAAGGTAAAATTATACTGCATTTCTTTTTTTATGAAATTCATGTGCTTCCTGCAACTGCTCAGATGATGACAAACCCATGAACATCTCATTTTGCCTGACAGCAGCTGCCTAAGGCTGGCCAAGTATTTTAGATTGAAGATTGTATTTTTCTCTTTGAATGATCTGGTGGAGTTTTCTTTCCAAAATGTAGGATTTAGGATATTTAAATTAAACATTAAATCTAAAGTAGATAAATATACTACCATTTTAGAATAGAATACCTTTATTGTCATTGCATTCCACAAATACAATGAAATTTGAAAGCTACTCTGGCACAGTGCCCCAAACACCACATCACAATCACACTACAGAGTATTTAAAAATAATAATAATAATAATAGGACTAAATCACACATGCACTGTTTGATTCAAGACAATTACTGCCTTGGAAAAGAAACTGTTTCTCAATCTATTAGTCCTCATTTTAAGATACCTATAACGCCTCCCTGATGGTAACAGTTCGAAATATTATTATTCCTTCTGCATTCAGAAATGTTCTTATGACTTTTCAATTTAAAAAAAGTAACATTTTTCAATCTTGGCAACTTTAAGCTGCATGGAGTTAACTCCCAGAATTCCAAGCATGGTAGCTGGGGAATTCTGAGAGTTGAAGTCCATACATGTTGACTGGAGAGTTCTGGCAGTTGAAGTTAAGATTCAGAACAATTTGTGGGTTAGTCACCATGGGATCTGCAGTCAAAGATTTACACCACAGAATGAATGGAAAGGCTATTGAATTGAATTATCCCCTTTATTAGTCATTAATGAAATAAAACACATTGTCATCTTAATGTCCATCTTAAGTCCACTGAAGTTGACCATCTAAAATAGTCTAACAACACACTGTAGATGTAAGCATCTGTTTTCTAGGTTTGTTTAGAAATCTATTGTTTATCTAAGCAAGAGGAACTGATATCACTTAATTATGCAACATTCAAAACATTTGAAACACAGATGGAATCATGAATGTATGAAATGTATCTGTAAGTTTTGACTTATTTTATGAAATAAGAATTCAACCTTAGCAGAGAATTGCAGGAAGAAGGTGTATAACAATGTTAATTACATATGTGAGCTATCGCTGAAAGGTAATGTGTTTTTCCCCTGATAAATGATATGGATTTCTTTCCTGAATATAAGTCCTATAAAATATAAAAGAGTGATTGGAATGCTGTGGCTATTAAAAATTAGCATTTTTGAAGCTTACCAAGAATACATAGAAGATACACTCCCTAAGCTCAATATATTAAATTCTAAGTAAATACACTTGCAATAAGTTCTTTTATTCAAAGGAAAGCCCTACTGTTTTAATTGAGATTCCTTTTCTGCCCAGGCAAAACTCCTAAAAATGCTCCAATAGCTTAAAAAGCAGAATGCTAGCAAAAATCTTGCTATTAGCTTATATGGTCCTTCTTCCCCTTTTTCTTTTCTCTCTTTTTAAATAATGCCTTTCTGGATCATGTTTCAGAAATTTATTCTTTTGCAAACAAAATGCTTAAAGAAGAGATATTCTCCTGCAAAAGCTGTCTCAAAATCTTCACCACACTTTTAGACAGATTCCCTTTTACTTAGTACTTGGCTAACAAGCTGATCAACATATAAATATCAACGAGATGTTTACTGACCTGTATAATAATTCAGGATGGGAAGCAAACTACGGATGCCAGGAGCAAATAATCGGAGTAACAGAAGGTATGCATATCCAGAAGAGAGAGAGAGAACGTGCAGGTTGCATCCTGAGATACTATTTTCCAACTATGTACATTTCAGCTTAGTAGCTGAAGTTCTAGGATAGCTTTCAGCTTGTTACTACCCTCTGCTGGCTACTCTTGTTTTAACTTATTTCCAGCAAAATTGTGTTAACTTCTTGCAACAAAAATAACAGAGACCTGGTTCATATAGCCCATTAGTTATGGTGGTGCAAACTGCAGCCTATTCATAAATTAATTTTTTTCTGTGCATGAAAGAATATTTTTCTATTTTCATTTGGCTTGGTTTTGTTCACCATTCTTATTTAGGACAATCATATCTGAGGTGTAAAATCAGGAGAGGACCACAAAGGCAGAGAGGAAACATCAAAACTTTGTTGCCATCTATTGGTTGGTAATATTTCTTCAGTCCTAATATTGTAGCCGTGTCCTTGGTGTATTTTAAATCTGGGGATCAAGTGAGATCGTTAAGAGATCATTCTTAGGTTTGAAAAAAAAATGCATTGAGATGGTTTAACCATCTAGTGAGAATTAGGATTGAATGACAAAACAGAGATATGAAGGAAGAAAAAGAAATGAGTTGACACCAAGGTTGAGGAAATTACATTACAGATTAAGAGTTGGTAGGGATCTTGTAGGTCATCTAGTCCAAACCCCCGCTCAAGCAGGAGACACTACACCATTTCTGACAAATGGCAGTCCAATCTCTTCATGAAGGCCTCAAGTGATGGTGCTCCCACAACTTCCGAGGGCAACTTCTGTTCCATTGGTTGATTGTTCTCACTGTCAGAAAGTTTCTCCTTATTTCCAGGTTAAATCTCTCCTTGCTCAGTTTCCATCCATTATTCCTTGTCTGGCCTACAGGCTCTTTAGAAAATAGCTTGACCTCTTCATCTCTATGGCAGCCCCTCAAATATTGGAAGACTGCTATCATGTCTCCCCTGGTCCTTCTCTTCACTAGATTAGCCCTGCCCAGCTCCTGTAACTGTTCTTCATATGTTTTAGTCTCCAGTCCCCCAATCATCCTCGTTGCTCTTCTCTGCACTTTTTCTAGAGCCTCTACATCTTTTTTTATAGTGTGGTAACCAAAATTGGATGCAGTAGTCTAGGCTGTGGTCTTACTAAGTCTTTATAGAGTGGTATTAGTACCTCACTTGATCTTCATTGTATCCCTGTGTTAATGCAA